TTAAACCACAACAAGCAGTTCAAATTGTTTCAGTGGTTGACTACCTGCACTCTTAAAAACTGAATGCAGGGAGGCAGGGCAGAGGGTCTGTGAGAGTCTGTTTAAAGCTCAACTGGACTAGGCCCCTAAGCATCCTGATATAATTTGAACCTGCTTTGAGTTGGGAGGGGGGAGCTTGGGATGACCACCAGCAATCCCTTCTACTGTACATTATTCTGTGATGTGTCTAAAAATTACTTCCTTCCTTTAAATTCAGTGCCAGACTTCCAGATTTATTTTAGCTTAGCTTGAGACTGTAAAGACTCTATTGCAAAAGTATTCCCTATTCTTAGGAAATTAATACTTCCCCTTTCCACAGCATTATGTCAGTGGAGTGTAATGCTGTCAGGTGCTGTGTGGTGCACACAGCGTATCAGAGAATGCTGCTATACACAAGGTCCTGCTCTTTAGCTTGTCTCTAACAGAAAACGTACTGCCTCCAGAACCTCTTTGCCATCTCTCTGCCCCTGGAAACACAACCATCAGTTCCTTGTTCATCTTTCTCCAAGACAATCACTATGTATCTCTGAGGACCTCAGCTTTTTTTGGCCCATCAAACAGGTCACTGAGTTGTCTCCAATGACAGTATATACACAGCTATCAATCTGCATGGTAGTCAAGCTGCTTTTTAATTACTCTGTTTTATATATTCAAGTGAATCGAAAAGCGAATTTTATTTTGATAACCTATGTAATATTTAAACTTCTTATCACATATATTACGAATTTAAAATAAAGAATCCAATTTTAAGCATATTCAGAAATATTTGTTGTCAATATTCTGTAGGAAATCAAATCACTACGCTCAATTAACAATAATGTTTAAACACCCTAAATCAGAATTTTGACCAAGACCACAAAGGAACTTGGGAAAGACTGAAGTATCTTAACAGCAAGGTTGCAATCCCCAAAAGCCTCTTTAACCCCCTCCACCCCACAGTTGCACTTAAATATGGAATGTGCTGGAAGAGCCCTAGATAGCTGAAAGTTGTATTTCAGCTACTATGCCAGAAATACAGCTGTTTTGACAAGGATGCCAGAAGCTCAGTATCTTGATCACAATGGCCTTCTCTGAATCTAGGCATTCTTTATTGTAAATCTCTTGAGATCTCTGACTAGTTGGCATTCTCAGAATAAGACTAACACCCAAACAGCTGACCCAATCCCAACAAGCATGCATGGACTGGCCACTGTATTTGAAACTGTAATATTGTTGTACATTTTACATAATAACTCAGTGATTAGAATGATTACCCATGATGTACAATATCTTACTTCAATTCCCTTTTTTCCCCTCTAAGTGGATTCAAACTCTCGTTCCTCTCCCCTTAGGAAAGAAACCTGACCAACTCTCTCAACTGTATTCTAGTAGAGATAAAAATGATAAGAAGTTTTGCATGCTCCTAGAGAATTGGTGCCCTTCTATTGAAAATAATTCAGAATTATACAGACCAGAATGACACAGAGAATAAACACACAACAAAGTCCAAGGTACTCACCTGGAAGTTATAAAACTGGATTCTGGTCCCGGCTACTGTAGCTGTTTCTGTGTTTTATATTGTGAGTGTTTTGCACATGACAGCGCTGAGCTGACTGACCAGCTTACCTGATGATATGGTTTATCACGATAGGGTCTGGTGGCAGTAGCAGGTTAGTGAGTCTCTGAGGAATTTCAGAAAACTTTAGCCGTGGACAGTCAAAGATCTGGAATACAATAAAGCATGTTATCCTTGTCCAAAACCTAACTTGCAATTAAATTAGAAAGTAAGAAATCAACAGTTTAAAAGTAAGGTGATTTTGAAAGCTATAATTCTGGCTCCTTGCACAGAATAAAATTTTGATCACTTCTGTCCCTGCGAATTGCTGCTGTACTTACAATCTGGGCTAGCTGACAGATGCATCAGATGACGACAATTTCAGGTATCCCACTTTTGGTTTAGCTGCTGAAGGGCACAGGCCACTTTAATGGGACATCAGGATCAACTGTATCAATGATGGGAGAGAAGTGAACACTTCCTCTCTCACTAAGGGTTTGCAGCAGCATATCGTAAAGAAAACAATTTTTTTTTTACCAGAGGAAATATAAAAACATTTTGCTTTTTTTTCCAAGGCATGTTTCCTGCAATATTTTGTGCTAAAGAAAAATACAAGAAAACATTTTTGGATTTTAAAACCATTTGCAATTTTTTTTTTTTTTAAGATTAAGGGAAAAAAGTCAACATGGTTTTACTTATTTTTAACCAAACCTAAACAGCCTCTTGGAACAGATCCACTCCTTTCCAATCAACATCTCATGGTTACCTTCTCTTTACTATAGTCAAAAAGCTAAATATGTACTGCATTCAGAAAAAAAAAATCTTTTGAAAAGGATCAAAATCTGTAGTTTTGGGAAACTTTCTGTGAGTAATTGCAGTGCGTTGCCATGAATCTAGAACCACTCCTTACACCTGGAGTTTTCAGAAATATAATTATTACAGCCTTTTTTTCCTACTGGGATTTTTAATGTTCTGAACAGGCGAACAGGCTTTTCTCAAAAGATACTCCATTTAAACTGACTTACCCCCCCCCAAACTATCTATATATTAACATTTGCCTTAAAACATGCCGTTATGTGGCGGCAATTTGTAAAAATGTTGAGGCCTACGCAAATGCCTCTTAGGGAAACGATTTCCACCTGGTACAAGGGAGAGACTACTTGTAGTATTGGATCTATAACTAGAAACATGCTTCGCAGCTCTGGAGACAAAGGACGCAGGCAGGGTTGAAAAGAATGGGCTATCAGGTTGTAGACGGACATAGGAAGTCAGACTGTTCAACTAGGATGCTGTGGTTCCTCAGACAGAGTATCTTCTGAAATCCATAATTTTCTGGAGTGAGGGAATTTGGTAGCAGAAATAGCTAGAAGCCAGCTCCGGCTTTTGAAACACCTTTAGACCTTTTTTGTTGCTTTTGCTTGTAACACAGTGAACTTCCAGTCTCCCAGCTGATGTAAACAGCATTTCTAAACAGAAAAGGATCCTCATCAACTCTAAAATCTGTCTCACTGGCTGGACTTACCTGCATCCAGGAATTCAGCCAGCTAGTTTCTAAAGAGCAAGGAAGTAACCAAATCTACTGAGTCTGCAACTCGCTCTTTATTTCAGTTCTGAATTCTGACACTTGGTAGAGATGACTGTGGAATTCCCGCTCAAAATCTTTGCATACCAAGCTCCATCCAATCTGCTGTCACCACTGGCTCAACACTCCTGTCAAACTCCTAATGTGGGTGCCCAAGAGACGAGAGCTTTAAGAAGGGAAAAGGGAGCAAGGACATACAATAGTGAGAGAAGGAGTGGGATACTGGAAAGTGAGGCTAGATGGAATTTTCCTAAAGCTTCTCACACTCCTACTTAACTGGAGTTAATGGTCTAAACTGATAACCACTGGCTCTGAAAGCCTATATGGCTATAGTAATTCTAGTGTGTGAGGTGACTCATTCAGTGGTAATTTTTTAGTCTGTACTGTATTGTGTCATTAGATATAACCACGAGCACACCAGCACAGGATTTAGAAAAGCTGGCATACCACATGAGAAGACCAGCATGTAAAAGGGAATGCTAGAGACACTGATGTATTATGCACTGCTCCCCTAAGTGATCTGCGCGCTTCCAGCTATGACCATGATTTACACGTTAGTGACATGCCTAAAGCTATATAGTCTACAGAAATATCATCAGACTGGAAGGCATTCTGAACCCAATTCCTTTACCCTCCATATCTCAATCTTAGAGTATTAGGGTGAAAAACAAAAAAACTCATCATGAAATGTTTCATTTGATTTAATGGGATTCATTTTCCTAAGTACTAACATCAGTTTTGAAAGCAAGATTAGCTACTTAGGACAATTTTCCCAGAGACCTAAGGAAAATAGAAACACTCAAATCAATCCCATTTATGATTTAAATCTGTGCAAGCACTGCATTCTTATGAAACTATTCCAGATTAGCCAGCTCTTGCAGGGAGTGAGGTTCAGTCTCCTAGAAAAGGAATCCGCCTCTTCTCAACTCTCTCATCTGACTAATCTTCTGAGGATGGAAAGACAATTATCAGGTCTGATGGTATTCCTGAAGAGTTCTAACACAAAGGAGACCCATGAGCTAATAAGCCTCTGATGAGATACACAAGAGAGGATGGCTCCAGCAAGTTCTTATTCTAGCAAAGTCCTTAAGCAGAAAATTAAAATAAATAGAAGTGAGAAGGCCCTCCTGCTTACCATAAGTAAGGTATGAACTGCTGTACTGGATCAGACGAAGGATCTACTACACATCTACCACACTATCCTGCCCTTGATAGTGGCCAAAAGTGGAAACTAAAGGAGAAATGTAAGAACAGGAGAAACATATACTGGTCCTTCCACAAAAAAATTCTCCCAATCTCCACAGCTTTGCAATTACCTTGCATTTATAACAGCCCAAGATTTTTTCCCCATTGGTTTGTCACTTTTGGAACCTATATACACTTTTAGCATTTGTAATGTCCTGTCGCAAGGAGTTCGGAAGTTTAACTACACTCGATTCCTTTTGTTTGTTTTTAATTTGCTACCTGCCAGTTTCAGTTGATGGCCTCTAATTATTTACCAAAACAAACAATAATTACTCCTTGTTCACCTTTTCCATTCCGCTCAGGATTTTTCAAATCTTTTTCACCTCCCCTTTTCCATTTCCTCTTCGGGCTGACACAAACAAAATTGAGTCTAAATTGGCTATAGATAAATAGAGAATGGAAATCAAATCATCTAAGCAACAGAGCAAATAGCTTTGTAATTTTGCCAAAAATTTTTATGTGGTTTTAAGGTGGAATTTTCACTATATATGAAAAAGACTGCATCCTGTAATTCTCAAAAAAAAGCCAGACAAGAGAATGACTATATAATCCAGATCACTTTGGTTCTATATTCTTAAAAATACCCATGAATCTCACAATTATTTTGTTGTATTTTGTATTTTCAAATGTGGAAAAACCCAGTGCTGTCTTTAAATTTGTTTCAAGCACTGGTCACTTCAAACCATCGTAGGGCAAATTAATAACAGAAAATAAAAGCTTAAAAAGAAAACTAGGACACAACTTTCATTGCAACATTTACTTTCAATGCTTGCTAAAACATTATTCATTTATTATAACTGCCAGTACTTTCCCTAAACAGGAGTATGTCACAAACCTTACCTTCAGGTACTTTCAAAATAAATTAGGTAAGCCTGAAGCTACAGAAAAACAAAGCCAATTAAGATAGTGATAGCTCAAATAACATTACCTTTACAAAATAAATATAATCATATTTACAGAAAAGGTGGAGATGCCTTGAAGTGGCCTTCTTGGTTAATTCTAGAGGTCATTGTGAAAGACAAGAAGTCTTAACGTGCTACTTTCAAAACATCATGCAGATCATTGAGGGTATTTTATAATCTGAAGCAGACTTAGGAAAAAATAGCTTTTCTAATTGTATCTTCCATGTCTTCTGCCCTTCATAAACAGGGAAAGGGAAAGGAAGAAAACAGGTCTACATATGATTTGGCAATCAGAATCAACAGATTATTTCATGTTTCTTAGTACAAAATGATACATCAGGGGGAAAAAACCAGTAAATCAATACAGTGAAACAATTAGAGAAAGTCCTCCTTCCTGGAAAGGTCACAACTTATGTGGGAGCGCTGAACCACTGTCCTGGTTCCGGCTGGGACAGAGTTAACTTCCTTCCCAGTAGCGTGGGGGGTGTGCTGTGTTTTGGGTTTGGTGTGCGAGGAGCGTTGATGGCCCATTGATGCTTTGGTTGTTGCTGGGTGGTGCTTGCACCGGGGACATTTTTTTCGGCCTCCCATGCTCTGCCAAGTGCAGGGGAAGCTGTGGAGGGGGGAGCATAGCCAGGGTGGTTGACCCAGATGGCCAATGGGGTTTTCTATACCATGGGACGTCATGCTCAGTATAAAAACCGGGGGGGGGGGGGGGGGGG